AGCGGCCGTTGGAAACGGCCGTTGGAAACAGCCGTTAGAAGCGCCCGTTAGAAGCGCCCGCGTGCGGCGTCTGACATTAACCCGCGCCCCACAGCCCTTCATGGAGGCGGCTCGGGGCTCTGCGGCCGGGCTGAGCTCGGCCAAGCCACCGTCCCCTCCCARATCGGTTCGAACCCGGTGGGCGCACGGGGAGGAGATGTCTGGGCAAACGAGCTGCACCATTGGGAAGTTCCTGAGGTGGTTCCTGTGGCRAAGAACCACTGCAGCGTTTTTTTCTGTGGCATCTGGCTTGTAAAGAAGCAATACTCAATCTTGAATAACAAGAAGATAACAAAACTTAATGGAAGATGTTTGGAACTTACATACGTGTAATCAAGAGAGTTGAGATGCAGTTTCCCAAGTGTGAAATCTGCTTGCATTATTTAAAGTAGTGACCGAGCAGAAGTGGTCCACTCTGGTCGTCACCACTGGCATCTTTCCCTTTCGGTTTGAGGGAGGACAGGCACCCAATTGAGCCTGAACAAATAGAGATGGCCAAATGAACCCTTACATGGTCTAGATGAATCCTTCTGTGATCCTGTTGAGTCCTTTACCATCRTGCTTATGGGACGTGGTGTCAGTGTAACCCCCTCTTCCCTGCTGTCATTCAGGCCCTCGGCAGAACCATGATGCTTTTCATGAGAAATCTGAGTTTTTCTATATTTCCCTTTCTCTAAAGCATCCAGATCAGGTGGCAGATGAAGCTAGGGCAGCAAAAGATGCAGATCATTGATCTGATGCAGTGTGGAGCTTCCTTCCCGCAGGAAGGTGCGGAGGAGGGAGACGAGTCCCAAGGGTCATTTACCGCAGGCTCAAAATCTTTACTTTGCAGACAGAACATCATTTAATCTTCCATAAACTTATTGAGCTCCTTCTCAAGGCAATTAGGCTTCTCGACTGTCAGTATAAGCAATATATCCCGCTGTCCGTTAGAATATAGCTCCAAACTGCTCACTTCCCTGCATATAAGACAATAAATAACGGCACCAGTTTTCATTCTCTGCTAAATGGAGGGAAACTGAAGCAGATTAGGAAATAAAGGAGCTTCCGTAAGATTTTCTTTCTCCTGAGTTATTTATTCTCCTCATAGCAGTTTTCCGCCACATAGCCAATRTGGAGTCTCCCAAAAGACAGTCTGTGTTCTTTTCTGACTGTGAATTGGGTGTTATTTTTCAGCACTGGATAAATTAGAACACTAAACCATAACAAGGAAAACATTCCTTAACACAATTATAACGAAATGCTGACAAGAAAATCCATTTTTATGTCCAAATCCTTCTCCTATTAAGAATGCAATTAAGTTTGCTGATCTTAGCCTATCCCAGTCCTTGTCTATGCACATCCCCCAAATTCTCACCCAGTAATTTAGGCGTGAGGATTAAAAGAATAACAAGTGCGAGGGTGTGTGCCGAGGAGACCGGGGTGACACAGATGGGAGGTCTCAATAAGAAATAAATACCCATGCAAGAAGCAGAGATCCCGTTTGCACTTACACTGGGAAGCACAGGGAATAGTCTGATTTCAGT